GGTCAGCTATTTCTTAGCTTTCTTGGGTTTTTAATCTTGTTCTACTGACACTAAGTTAAACACAGATTTAAATAAAAACAAAGTACAAAAACACCCACATAAATTCCTTAGGGGACAACTCCTTACACAGTTCAAGGCACTTCAAGATTCTTGGCTAAATGAGATATAATTCCTTTTCCCTAGGTGTTTATCACAGGCAGCACTCTATGCTGAGGCTGCACCACCACAGAATCTGTCAGAGGAGCCTTTGCAAATACATTGGGAGCACATCTCTGAAACACCTTGTGTAATGACCCACAGAGCTGGCCGGGAGCTTTCCCAGATCAAGGCCTTGAAAAAACAGGTTTTTTCCCCCCAAATACCAATCCTGGCCTAGTTCTGTTGGTCTTGGTCCATCCACAGCACAGATCCTTCTGCCTGATTGCTTGTGAGACATCAAAGAGCATCCTGGGACATTCCCTACTCATCAGCTGGTCTGGCTCGACCTCCGGTGGCCCTCGCAGGCTCACCTGTGCTCGCCGCAGGAGCCACACAGGCTCTGACTCTGGTCTGGGCTGGTGGCTGGCACTTGGCCTCTCTCACTCAGGTCTCCCCAGCTGCTGGCACCCGGGCACACAGGGCCTCTGGTTCTGGCCCAGCTGCAGACATGCCCCCCTACACAGGGGCACACCAGTTGAGGTGCCACTCACCCAGGAGAAGAGCTAGAAATGGAGTTTAATGAGAAGACAGGACAGACTGTAGTGACAGAGCACTGGGCCAGTCCAGACAAATGTACTGATCAGCCACCTGCATAAATGAAACTAGACTCTTTTATTCCTTCATCCATCCATTTTCCCAGGCTTTTTATTCCCGGATTCCTTTGATTCCTCCCTTTCTCACCTTTGTCTCCTCCCTTAGAAGTCCCATAACAGTCTGGTGCAATCCCCAAATGTACTTCATTTGCATGTCATCATGTGCCCATAGCCCTTCGGCAGTGATGCCCTGAGTTCAAAAGGTGATGAATTCCTCTGGATGAGTTTCCCACATAAGCCCTAGAGCTTAGGATTTCCTGGGACAGCCCTAGGAGGGGCTGGGCAAGCTGCTCCTTCCTGACACCTTAGTGTGGGCTCCTGACCAGCCTGTGGGCCACTGTGCTCTGGGCTTGTGGAGATGGCTGGTGTCTCTCCTTCCTCTGCTGGGCTGGGGTGTCACTTGGGCTCCCTCACCTGCCATTGCCTCCCCGTCCTCCTTCATGGGAGAGCAGCCAAGCTCCTTGATGGATAATCTAGCAGGTCCACTCTTCAACTCACTTTGGAAGCTGCTGTTCAGGTTCTCTCCTTCCTCTGAAAACAGGTGCCTCCAACTTTTCTTGATCACAGGTTTCTCTTCAGCCTTTTGTGAAACATGGAGCCTGGTGTCTGCGTCTGCAAGAGACCCAGGAGAATGGTATGGTTCACTAGAGAGCTTTACATGACCTGGCAGAGAGAAGTGATGAGTAGACAAGAGGGTTCTGTGTTGATGTGGCACAGCCTGGTTTTTGGTGGTGAGGGAGGACCACAGAAGTGGCTTTTGTGAGAAGCTGCTAGAAGCTTCCACCACGTCTGACAGAGCCAATCTCTGATGTCTCTGAAGATGGACATGCTGTATAATAACACTGAATATATAATAATATATATAATATTCTGAATATTATATATGTAATAATATATATAATAATCTGAACTGCTGCTTGGGCCATAGAAACTCTGTAGTTTCTTATCAGGCCCTCTGGTATTTCTCAAGGTTGCTGAGACATAAGCTGTTCTAAAAATAAAAAAGAAAAGGCTGAAAAGCAAGAAAACAAGACCACAAGAGCCAAATAACAGAGGGCAGTTGAACACCTGGACTGTAACCAGTCCTGTGCCCTGAGGGGTGCATGCAGAGTGCGTGGACAGGATAGGGGTACCAATGAAAAATGCATGATTGCATGAACAGTAGTTAGAGAATGTATAAATAAGTGTATAAAGTAAACAATAAATGGCTTCTGCAAAATCTTATTGGTTTGTTGGTCAGAGGTCCTGAAGTCCTGCAGTGCTGCTGGCCCAATTGGAGGGGTTGGTAACTTCTCTCTGATGACATATTTAAGAAGAAAATCAAAACATCACATGTGCAGTTTTTTCCAGGAGTGGTGAGGTGCTGCCACTGTGGCCATCCTGGCAATGTGCTGCCATGGCCGCTGCCATCTCGGTGCAGCCCACAGCAAGCCTTGCCTGCCTGGCTGTCCCTGGCCAGCTGTGCTGCAGGCAGAAGGGCAGGGGCAGCAGCAGCAGCTTCTCCTTCCCAGCACCCTGCATGAGGAGAGGCGTTAAACAGCGTCAATGCCGTGGTGGCTGCCACTGCCCAAGCGGTGGAGACGGGGCCGCATGGCCGGCAGTGAAAACGTGGCGAGTGACTCCAGCACAGAGAGTTAGAGGGAGAGATTAACTCTCAGTGCTGAGGGATCCCGTAGGAATCTTTGAATTGGGGGAACTTGTTGACAATGGTACCTGTGAGCAGCAGTTTTTCTTCTAGTCAGAGCAGAGGAGGAAGTGAGGACATGTAAGAGTAAACATCATGGTAGCACTAAGGTCAGTGGGAAATAAAGAGGGAGAGGAGGTGCTCCAAGTGTCAGAGCTGAAATTCCTCAGCAGGCTGTGGTGAGGATCATGGTGAAACAAACTGTCCCCCTGTGGCCCATGAGGTCCACAGGGGATGCAGAGATCCGCTCGCTGTCCATGGGGAAAGTGCTGGAGCAGGTGGATGCCAAGGAAAACTGTGATCCAGTTGATGCCAAGGAAAGCTGTGATCCAGGGGGAGACCAAATGGAGAGAGAGGCTCTTGCTTCCAGAGACAGACAGAGAGCCCTTGCTGCCAAACTAGAGCAGCCTGTCCTTAGAGGACTGCACCCCATGGACGACTGACCCATGTCGTATCAGTTTTGGGAAGATTGCTCATGGGAGGGACTCATGTTGCAGCAGTTTTGGCAGGACTGCTGCTTGTGAAATTAGAGCCACTCTGAAGAAGTTCTCAGAGAACTGTCTCCTGTGGGAGGGACCCCATGGCATAGCAGAGGAAAGCTTCCTCTCGCTGAGTGAACAGAAAAAGATCTTAGGTGACAAACTGATGATGAGCAAAATCCCCACACCATATCTCCCTACACTGTCAGCAGGAAAGAGGAAGGGGCTGGGGGGAAAACAGGTGTTTTAAAGACTTATTTTACTCGTCTGGCTCTGTTAATAATAAATTTAATTTATACTGTTTTTCCCTTAGAGTGTTTTTTCCTGGTCCTCATCTCAACTCATGAGTTCATTGTTTATTTTTTTATCCTCTCCTCTGCCCAGGTGAGAGCAAGAAAGGGTGAGTGAACAACTTTCACAGGTGCCTGGTGTTTGGCCAATATCAAACCACAACAGACACATACCTTAAATAAGTAGAAAAAAATGCATGTCTATTTCCAAGTGAAAAAAACATCACAGAAGTCAGTGCTTGCATTATCTTGGACCTTGAAAAACCCAGTCATACATATTTTGACAACAAACAAACCCAAAATAGCACCAAATCCCTTTCTGATCCTTACCTACCAAAACCACACACAAAAGTAAAAAACGAGGAGCAACAAGTGCTCTTAATATAGCAATGCAATCATCCATACTCAGCCAAGAATTACTGCCTCTAAATTAAAAACCTTCTCAGACAGAGGGGCTGTGAGGAATGCTTAACTCCCCTTGGCTCACATCTTGCAATCCTTTCTCTGGAGTGCCCACTGGCTGTGTGTCCCATTCCAGCCAGGCTTTGGGGTGACTGCACCTTGCTGGGTGCCATCAGAGAGGGGCAGAGGAAAGGCCTGCAGGGGTTCAGCTGCCAGGCAAAGGTAAGTGTGGGGACCAGAGCTCACATGCTTTTGCAGCAGGGGTAAAAACCACATTTCCTTTGGGAATGGCATGTATGTAAACATTTACCAACAGGATGAGGTCATGCAATCTTGAGCTCAAAGCAAAGGGAGCAAGGTACCCAAATCAAAGTATGTCCAAGGCAAACACCGAAGCCTGGAAAAAGGCAGGGTGGTAGCAGTGAGTGAATCCCAGAGCTCTGTGCTCAAGCTCACTGTCCCTTATTCACTCAGGGGCACATTCACAGCTCAGAGACCTATTTTTCAGGCAACAATTTCAAAAACACAGCTTTTCATAGAAAATGACTGCACTCAGAAAAGTAAACACCTCAATCAGCCAGAAGGCCAGTAATTAATATTTGGAATAAATATTGGAAGTTATCAAGGCATCTTGTACAAATAGCATGAGCTGCATTTGCACATAGTTCTGGACAATTCAAGGTGCTGACAGGTAAGATTATGCATACTCCTGATGAGCTTAAAAAAATCCTACCCATCTCTTTTTCCCTGCCCATGTCTTTTGCTCCACTGAGGAGCTGCTGCCTAGGTTCTGCTGCCAGTTCCAGCCCCCAGAAAAAGTGAGAACAAGACTGGCAGGTGGGTTTGAGGCCGCAGGATCTTAAAAACATTCATCTCCCCTCAAACCCCTGGGTGTGGGTCTGTCTGCTAACCCCAAGGACACGGATTCCTCCGGGATGCACAGCGCGGCCGCCAGCTCCTGCTGCGCCGCGCTTCCCGGCGGTTGCCATAGCACTGAAAGGCAAACCTAGCAACAGGCACACAAGCCTCCCAAGCACACAAGTCCAAACCACATTTTTTAAATAAATTAAATCATCCAGCCTTGCCTGCTACCCAAAAAGAAAGAGAAAAAAAAAGTACAGCATGTTTCAAGAAGCTGTTAAGAATGTGCCGTTTCTGTTCAGATGCACTAGAGAAAGGGTTTAATTACCGCTAAAATTAAACGATAAGTGCTGTGCAATGACACAATTAAAGAAGCTTGCAGGAAGATCTGCTTTTTAATACGCCTTTTGTAAATCTATGTATCTGTCAGTTATTGATGGTATAAGTAGTTATGTCAGGCATCAGAAGGCAAAATAAGAGTTTAGCTTTTATTTTAGACTTTTTTTCTTGCAACTCCCATTTCTTTGTGAAACAATGTGGTAATACAGCAGTTTATTTGTTTATTTTAGTATCACAATCAGAGATTATTTGTGCTTAGTAAAAATCAATCCCACTACAGCTCAGGATCTTGTGCCTATCGACATGATTATTCAATACATATTCTAAGTGTCTCCAGTGTCTTCAGAGTTGTATAAACTTTGCTTCCAAAATTCTCTGCCTCTTCAGCTTCAAAGTCTTGCATACTAATATTTTAACTCTATGACACATTGTTAAAGAAACAGCCTATGGAGGAAGTTAAGAGCATAAAACATTGTATTTCTTTGAATTTCACACTGTTAAGTATATTCTACACAATAAGAATACAGCCATTTCATAAACAGGAAATAAAGTTCTATAAGCCAAAGAAACATGAAGGAGGATTGAAGAAACAGAGGAGCATCCTGCTGTTATTACCTACTCTACATTGAAGGCTTTTTCCCTGGCTCAGATTACTTTTTTCCTCAACAAAACATATTTACAGAAGGAACCCTTTGAGTAATCATTCTTTCCATCTGAAATCACAGCCTCTGAACTGTGTGAAGATCACTGGAGGAGTAATTCCAACAAAAGTGCCCTACCAGGTTTTGCACTCACTTCTTTAGTGAGATTCAGGCTGAATGAAGTGGTTCCACTCACTGCCTTTAGAAATTTCACTGGGATTGATTTGACTTGTTTATCTGTTATGAAAAATTACCTACATAAATAAAACACTTCTCATCCAAGAGCCAGAAGGGAACACACAATGTTGTACTGAGTCCCTAAGGAAGGCAATCTCATGTTCATCCTGACAAAATTTACCCACATATGAATCTGGGGAGAGAAGGTGAGCAAGAAGGGACAATTTTCCAAATGCTAAGGAACAATGTTCCTTGGAGGAGAATGCAAAAGTTGGATGGACTATATGTATCAACACCAAATAAAATACAATTATGTATTTTAGAGGTTTATCATAAAACTTTGAAACATGATTTCTTTTGCTCCTGCCTGCCCTCAGCATGGCCATGAGCCTCCCCTCACCTCCAAAGCAGGATGCTCAAAGGCTGATTAGAAGATTTCTGAAGGTTGTAATTTTATTCAGTATCTTCCCTGATGAATGCTGACTGTTCACATTCATGTTGATATATCTGGAATCACAACTCATTAAATTGTTTCCATCTGCAATTGGTCTTTTCAGGATACACAATCGAGCATGCATACTGAAGTTGCAATTCTTTATGATACCCATGGACATGTAAATTCAGCAGGGGACATAAGAAGCCTTTCTAGCATATAATTTATTTAGGTTTGTTGGGGTTTTTCTGTATGCACAAGAATTGGAACGAAAAGTTTTTCTCCAAGACATTTCTGTATACCTCTTGCTGTTTCTGCAGTAGTAAACAAATTAATTTTGGGGTTTATGTATGGTAAGAAACAGTAAGAGACATCTGGTTGAGACAGAGGTTTTGATAGCTTTGCACAAACACAGACACACAGAAAATAAATTTGGGGATTCCACCATCAAATTGTGATTTAAACATTGCTGTGCACCAAGAATGACAAGCATCACCATCCTCTGCACCTCATTCTTCTATATACACTAATTAGCAGTGCCTGAGGAATCAGCTCTAATATGGTCATCCACCAAGAGGAGACAGAAGCTGTTAACTCCCCTCCACAGATACCATTGCAGGACCCCATCATCTGACTGCTAACTGAGAAAACTAGCATCTTAAATGTGTCACTTCATAGCTTCTCCTGCTAGCTCTGCTGTGGCAACGTTTTTGTTTAAATCCTCTTTTCTTCAGGGCTTCAGTACTCATCTGTACAGAGAACAGCACTGTATGTGCCACTGAGAGGTCATGACTCTTCATCAAAAATAAGAGTTAAAAAAGCCCCACACAGGTTTTAATAAATTAACCATGTACACAATTGTCCTACAGAATGGCACAAAATTAACTTTTGTATAGCCTCTGCTACAATGTGCACACATCTCTAAGCAAACATACATCTGTGCCAGAAAATCATTTTCATTAAACTCAATTTATATTTATATACATATAGGTACATTTTGTCCCAAACACAGGATTTACAATTATGTCATGCTTATGAAAAGTACTTATATTTCCTCAAAAGACACACAATTATTATGCAAATATTTCTGGCACCTGTGAGGTATCAAACACTTAACAACTAGGTGGGCAATGTTAAAAAGGAAGAGAATTCTCCTTGTGCCTTACCTAGTGCTTTCTCCACTGTACTGTGAGAATTTCCCCAAAAGACTTTTTTGTTTACAACAGGAGGAGCTGTGGAAAGAGAGTGAAAAACAAAACATAACATACTGGTCTATGAAAATTTGGGCTGGCAAAGCTAGAGGGCTGTGTCAGCACTTTTAATCTACAAGTACAGGTGAACATTTGTGCATGTATAGGTTGAAAAAATAGATTAAAAGCTCTGCAAAGCAGCTATAAATAAACACCTTATCTACTTTTTCCACTTACCACAGTGCTATGTCCTTTATTTTCATCATTATTTAAATGTTATTGAGAAAGCTATGTTAAGTGAAGCTGGCCAGCATAAGAGAGGCTCTTTGGGTCAGTTTTTATTTCTCACTTAACAGAACACCTGTTTTAGAAAGCTTCTTCTTAACCTCCTGTCCTTGTCAGAGCAGAACTGACACAAAGTAGATCTTTAAGAAACTTCACCCCAGTCTTTTTATTGCACCCATAGGTGGTGTCTTAAAACTCATCTGACTCCACAGTGCACTTCTTCTTATTGTCCACTATCACACTACCTCTAAAGTCCATCAGTGGAAGCACTGTTTTGAGATGGCACCCCCAAAAATCCACAATACAGATAAACCTCAAAGCAGTACCGGGGTGGCAGGTCAAATCTCAGCACTCATCTCAGTCCTGCTACAACAGCCAGCACATTCAGTGCCCCTGACAGCATGGCCAGCAGACTCCAGCTCAACCACCCCACCCACTCTTTTATAACTCCATCCTTACTGGACACAGCTGTGAGGACATAGCTGTTCCCACTCTTTGGTAATTAACACAGCTGCAATTTACCAGGGGCAAGACTACCTTCAGCGATATCCTTTTCCTCCCACAACCTCCCACAGAAGCCCTGTTTTTGGAAGCCCCAAAGGGCAAGAGTGCACCATCTTAATTAAAGGTTGAGGTTTATCTTCTGAAGAAGGAAGAAGAATTCATCATTAACCCGTACTTTGGCAAACAAAATCCCACTTTTATTTATTAAGTCCCCAGAAGGTTGTTCTTTGCAGGTAGCACTGGCTCCTAGCACGTGACTAAAAGGAAGGTGTACAGAAGATATATGCCCATATCATTAACCACTGCATTTATTTGAGGAGGAGAGTGGGCAATTATTCCATGCTCACCTCTACACATCAGCACTAGGAAGCTACCTCAGCCTAAAGACTACAGATCAGTTTCAGCCCTGCTCCCCTGGAGCTAAACTCTCTCATCCTTCAGCCCCAGCAGCTCAGATGGGCTCTCGGGGAGTGCTCCTGCTGACTTACTGTAAAACTTCCCTCTGTACTTAGAGCTCTGTAAATACATAATCAGTGCTTCTGCTGCTCTCTGTGTGCTCCCTAACACTGCCAAGGGAAATGTAAGTCTGCTCCATAGCAGACTAATGCATGGGTTATTTGTATTGACCAACTTAATGCAATTATTCATATTAGTACTCATAGGGAGTTGCAAGAGATGGGAAGGAAGAGATTGCCATGGACAAAATTCAGGACTAGCATGGGGATTCCATGTGTGACTTAAAATTAATTTGTATGAAAACCAGAAGCTGTTTCATTAATTCATTTACATGTTGAAGGTAGTGATGAGAAGTCTAAAAATTTAATTTTAAATAGGAATCTGTAACTTCAAGTGAAATTAGAACAGTCTTTTGAAAGACTCCTTAAAGATATGATTGAGTTATTCCAGAGCTTTTGATAAAAGCACATAATTCAGAACTTGCACTCTTCACAAAACTGCATTCATGCCTAATTTCTTGGACTAATCTAAATCTCAGTGGTTTAATTTCAGAGTGTCTGTCTTCACCATGTTCAGTTTTTCACTTCAGCATGAATTATTTTGAATACAAAAATGAAGAGATTTTTGAGTTAAAACTTTGAAAATCTCTCTGTCAAGAGAAAGTGTAAGTCTAGAATGCAAAGAATGAAAAATGAAGATTAAATCATTGTTTCCAAACAAAGGTACAAGTCTTCCATTCAATGTTTTTTGGGGTTTTTTTTTTGACAGTTTATATGCAACATTTATGCTGGCCTGGTAACACCACAACATGATGAAAGTCATACTCCACACTGCAATTCTTTCAAGGTGCCAGGAAATTGAAGTAGTCTAGGGATGATTACCAAGGACAAAACAGAACACTCCTCAATTGCCTTTCTTCCTCAGATGCAGAGGGGCACTCACATTTGCCAGAATGGCATTTACAACGTGAGACCTGGGGCTTGGTCCAGGTCCTTGTCACCTGGAAATCTGCTGCATTAATAGGAAACCATAGTTATGGTTTGAGATTACTGAACATTTCAGCAATAGGATTTGAAAAAAAGACATCCACTAAAGCTTAAAAGAAATCCATCTATTCTACAATATAAGTTAACTGAAGTTAATTACATGTAGTTTTATCTGGTATAAATGGATTTGTGATGAAGATAAAGTTCTACTGACAGAACTTTAAATCTTCTCTGACATGCTGTGTTTTGCCCTTCTGCTTTCTTTACTTCCCTTGTTCCAGTGCCAGTTCACAAATTCCCAGCTCTTCATAATTCTTTGTTTTATTCAAAGCTATGGACTAACAAAACAAAGTTCATTCTGCTTTATAAACAGCCCTTCTGTTGTCTGTGCATATTGTTGTAGGAATGGCTGCATGGGTGGGGTTAGGAAAATATCCCCTAAATTCATTTTGTCTCAGAGCTGGCACTGAGGAAAACCAGCCTAGGAAGTAAAGCATGAACAGAATAATCCTTCTTCTGGTGTATTCTCTAGATTTGCCAAACTAGCTGTTTTCATGGTCTGACATTGCCTTCAAATCTCATATGTTATTGCCACATGTGAATTTCTTCATGAAGTTACTCTGTTGTTTTCAATCCATTTGCTGTTGTGGCCTTTTCAGCTTCTTAGAATATATTCCACTCTTTACTTCTTAATTGTACAAATATATGTTCACCGTTTGTAAATTATGGAAGAAAAGAAAAATCTTTTCATCAAGCAGGTTTATTGTTGGAGTGTTTAGATGAGTTTTTATTTTCCCAGCTTGTGTTATTGCCCATTGGAAGTACCAGATATTTACATGCCCTGTCACTCATTACATTGTGCCAGACCTTCCAGAGGGAAGCTGCTGTTCCACACACTAAAAGCAACTGATCTGTTCAGACACCAACCCAAAAGACTTCATAAACTGTTATAAGTATCTTTCAAGCTATATTGTATCACTCAGTCAAAGGGCAAGCACCTCTCATGGATGCAGTAAAGAGTACTTCCTACTACACTTTTATTTTTCCTGGAAGTTCTCATTCAAGTCTTGACCCACAGTGACCCTCATTAGCTCATAAAAGCCAGCTAGATCCCAGCTCAGGGTTCAGTTGCATAGAGGACACATATTTGATCTGTTTTCTATGGATTTTTAGAAAACAAACCTTTTTCTACCATCACACCAGCACCTACAGAAATGGCCTGCTGATGCATGCAAGGTATAGATGATGGGAAATGCATCCCTCTTTCAATTACTGAGATGCACAAAAGTGAACTGGAAAAGTCAGTTTGCCATGAGACATTTGAAGAAGGAAGAAAACTCAGCTAAACACTGAATAGTTTCTCTTTCCCAAAGAAATCTCTTTGTCTTCTACTTAATATATCATAATTTGTCTTTTTGCTTAAGATATATCAGCAGGGGCAATAACTTTGTAAACCTGCAGATAAAAACAAGGAGAGAGTAGGAGGATCCTCATATTTTAATAAGATTTCAGTGGGAGAAGTAGCTTTAATTTTGCAGAGATATCTCCACATGAATTTCTGCTTTTCCCTCCTTAAAGCTTCTGTCAAAAACATTCATCTACAAATAAGCCAGGTAATTACATTTCCAAGCAACTTGTTTCTGACAGATTGTCCTACATCTCGTTTGTAACAGTTTGTGAGGCACTAAGACAAAGCTAATTGATAGCTAAATTATGGGGACGTGCATTTAGAGGGTTAATTGCTTACTGCTTGCTACCAGACTTTTAAGAGCTGGAATCTGCATACCTATATTAAGATTTTAAATGACTGGAGAACCAAAATAGTGGATTTTTTCTCTCTCAGTTTCAAATCTTCAGAAACAAACACTACATCAATCTTTTTCACAAGAATCAGAACAAATCACTCCTGCTGCTTGCCAGTCTTTCACACGACACTGGAAATTATTCAGGCTCATCTCTGAGGCTTGCTCAGAGATAGTAAGATAGAGAGGCACTTGGCAGCAGCTGTTAACCCACCTGCAGAGACAACTTCTGTCTCATTTCATCTCCTGAATTGCTCTAGCCACCAGACTAATGTTTACTTGTTCACAATTAAAGGCACCACGTGGCCCTCTGGGACTGTGCAAGAAAGGAATGTTAGAGCTTTCAGGGCCTGAAATCCAAGCTGTTCCCCTTGTTTAAATACTGGGCAGCTATTAAGCTGCATATCCTGGAATGCCAAAATAGCTCACCCAGGGCTGCAGTAAATGCTCCCTGACAGGGTGTACACGACCACTCTCTGCCAACAGCTGTTTCTGTACTGGAAACCCTAAACTGCATGTTCCCCAGCATCCCAATTTATGATCATCTTCATAGGAAATAACCACTGAATCAGCAATGCTCAATACCAAAAGCTGTGCTTTAGATGATTAATTTGCCTGAGAAGTAGCTAATGTTAAAAAAATAGCGTATATTGAAACCTATTTTTACAAACTGACACTCACCTCCTCTTAATTGTTATGTCCTTGGAAATTACCTCAGCTAACAGCTATTTTTTTTCCTTCTGGACAGCTAAAGGTGACAATAACTCTGAAAAGTAAACACATCTAATACTGACAGGCGGCATGCTAGCATGAAACCTTGCAATGCATTTGTCTGTTGGTGTTGTTTCATAGCAATTATCACTACCAAATATCGACTGTTTTTTTATTCTTGTCGTAAGCAAGCTAACAATAGAATGATAAAAAGGAAGAAAAATACCCCAATCTTTTTTACATCATTGCAATTGACTACCTTGGGAAACAAAAAACAACTCACTACACAGAAAGCAATTCTACCTTGTTCCCAAGGAAATTAAAATAAAATAAAACAAAGCTCAGAAAGTCAGCTTCAAAAGCTGAGAGCAATTAGCAGTATTTATTTAGGTTATTTTGTTTATCAGAAAACATTAATTGTTATGCATATAATTTACTCATGAAACTCCTGAAAGCCAGAACCCATTTTCACTCTGGCTACTCAAGGAAACCAAACTTGAGAGGGTCACTGGGAACTGTTGCTCTTACTGGGCTGGTACAGCCCAATGGGGAAGAGGGGTGGGAATTTTACAGGCACGTAGATCACTTCACTTCGTGATAACAAGTAGTCTCAAAAGGAAGAGTAATCCAAACTGCTGTCTTAATGGCTGAAAAGCCACAAGCCTCAGAAATTTCTCATTTAATTTTTTTCTGAGCATCCCCAGAGTCAACACACAGCAAATGCAAATCAACCAAATCCAGGGTTGGTTTCTGCCCTAAGGACAGAGGAACAGGCCAAGAGAGTCACACCAGCCTCTATTTTGATCAAGATCTAAATTGCACATCTTTTGTCTGATCATAGATAATAAGATCAGATATGTAAAGGCTGCAAAGTATTATTTCTAGGTAGGATATTTACTGTTTGATACATAAATACTAAACTGTTGAAGGATAACAATTTAGC